AGGCCTATAGCAGCATAACTAAGAGATGGTTCAGGACTCACCTGATCCAGCCTTAACTATAAGCTTTATCAATTATTTTTCACAGGATGAATTGGATGACAGTGCACAGGTTTGGAATGCACACACAATCAGGCCATCAAGAAACGTGAATGTCCCCACTGGTCGTCACAATGTGTTGTATGTATTGCCTGAACTGTACCAGACAAGAGACTTCCTTTCCCCTGTTGAAGATGAGCATGTTCAACTGTGCAAACATGAGTGTGTCTTTTGGCTGACCATACCATGCGATAAAGATGTTTATGAACTATGCAATATCTTTATGGCTGAGCCTTATAAGGCTGTGAACTTGTACATCTACCTAAGGGAGGCCATAAGTGCGTCTCTGTAAATCAGATGTAGTGTCCAGTAAGCACTGTGTTTAGTTGTGTTCAGTGACAGCAGCTGGTTCCACAGATATTTTCTTCATTTGTCCCTCATTGTCATTTCCCATTTGAAAGTTTTCTTAAAAACAATATTACAATATACTGCAATGCAGTTCCCACTCCCTTCTGCAAGCACCATTCTCATTAAGATATGTTATGTAAGTTATGAACTTTATCTACTTATTTATTTCCATGCAGTTACACAAATATCTGCAATATCTCACTGCTGCATTTTACCCTGAATCTGAATGTATGTATACTTGATTTGTAACAGTCTTGCCTCTGGATCCATAAAGACTTGATCACTAGAGGATATGTTATGAACCATTAAAAGACTTAAAAGATACTACCTAGCTGATGTCACTCCTCTCCTTTGTGACCACATGTTTTAGTGATGGTGTGTGCTTAAGAACCAGAAGACAAAATTAGTCTGGAAGACAATTTGCAGAACTTTACTACCAAAATCAAGTAGTGCAAACATCCAGTGACATGTAAACAGAAAAGATCTCTGTATGAAAAAGTGCATCAACAACCCCTGCAATGTAAAAAGGGGTAAAGTGCTTGATGTTTTTAAGAATGTGGAAATATTAAGGATTATTCTGTATTGATGTCTTTAAGTGTAAAATCCTGGCCTGCATCCCTGAATCTGCCAATCCAAAATTTGCCAATGAAGTAAGACCAATCAAGAACTTAGAAATACAAAAAAGTCAATACTAACAATGTGAAATATTGGAAATATTCTTAACACATTCTCAAGGCCAATAGAGCACATTATAGCTTATAGTTGGAGGCAGGTCTATTCAGGGCATATTACACACAAGATACATTTGTTTTTTGTGAAAAGCATTACATATAGATGTTTTCAACATTAACATTCAAACAATGTATTTTCCTGAATAAAGGTATGACTAAAACCTTAACATCAACAATTCTACCAGTGATGGAAAACTCTGTTTATATTTGCAACAATATTAACTCTTGCCTCGAAACTGGTCTGGGGTCAAACTGACAGAAGTGAAAGCAGCAGTCAAGGATATTTAAAAGCTAACATTTCTTTGCAAAACTATAGTGACGTACTATTGCACTAACTAATTGCAGACTGCTTGCAGATGGCTCTGTGCCATGACAAAACAACGTAAAAAATAAGAATAATAAAAATAAAGAAACCAAAATATTAAATTAAATATAATATTCCTTTCAAATTTACACTGGTCACAATCATGCCTGGCAAGTACTGCTCAAAGTTCATGATTCAAAGGATGTCCATTTCAAAGTAGCTGCTGGACAAGATGTTGTCAAATTCAGTGTCTGGCAGATTTGGCTGTACAGAAACAATGTGTAGAGAAACAATCAATTATGTACTTTGACTCTTGGATAATGGCTTTATGAGCCATTGTTTCTATTGCAGTCTCCATGTTTTCCTTTGTAGGTAGGAAATGGTAATCCATACTTGTAAACAGGTCAAGCAGGTCCTCTTCATCACCTTCTTCCGTTGTGCCCTGGAGAGCCCTCTCCACGACTGATCTCTCAACAGGAGTGAGGAAGTTGAGAAATTACGTCATAAGGATGTCTCCATCAATCGAGTCAATCCCATAAATGCAAGCTAAAATGAAAGCTTTTGCTATCGGACATACCAATGTGGAGAAATGGTCCACTTCCTTTTTTGACGAAAAATGTACGCAGTTTATTTTATAGCGTGCTTATTTTTTGCGAAAGATGAAAATACTTCGCGAGGTTCTGTTTTGTTGTGCTATGTAAAAAGTTTGTATCGGAGCAAAATAAAACGAAAACAGTTTGCATGAAATTTGCGCTAAAAAAAAATGTAATCGTCTATAAATGGTGATGTCGAGTGCCCATTACCAAGACTTGGAGGCATAAATGTTTGATGGCAAGCAAACTATGCAGAAGTTATTAGCCTAAACGCATTTTTTATGATAGTAGCGCCACCTAGTGGCCGACCCGAAAAGTGACGCATAGAAT